GGTTTATTTATAAACTCTGAATTCTGTTCCACTGATCTACATGTCTATATCATTATGCCAGTACCACAACGTTTTGATAATTGTACCTTTGTAATAAGTTTTGAAATTGGGAAGTGTGAGTCCTACACCTTTGTTCTTTTTCAAGAGTGTTTTGGCTATTCTGGGTCCCTTGAGTTTCCATATGGATTTTAGGATCAGTTTGTAAATTTCTACAAAGAAGCCAGATGAGATTCTGATAGGGATTGTGTTGAATCTGTAGATAAATTTGGACAGTATTTCCATCTTAATATTATTGTCTCCAAGCCACAAATGTAGGATGTCTTTCCATTTATTTAGATCTTCTTTAATTTCTTTAAACAATGTTTTGTAGTTTTTAACAATATTTTTTAACAGTATTGCTTTTGCACTCCTTTTTAAAAATTTACTCCTAAATATTTTATTCCTTTAGATGTTACTGTAAACACATTTTTTTTTTTACTTTTATTTTTGGATTTTCTCTTGCAATTTATTTGTTGAAAACAACCACAGTTTTTTCTGTAGAGTTTCTCCCCCCATATATACACATACACCTGCACCCTAAACCCAAGTCTGAATGTTGTTGCTTACATCCCTGTGATATTATTTAATATTGTTTCCCTTGTATTTCTCCAAAAATTCATAGTTATATCTAGAGACTTGATCAGATTCAAATTCCATTTTTTGACAAAAAATACATCATAGGTGCTGCTTTGCTTTTTTGTCAGGAGGTATATATCAGGTTATTACTCTTTTTGTAATGTTAGCAGACATTAATGATCATTACCTAGAACCATTAATGTATTAAGGGTTATAATTTTATTAATCCTTCGTATTAGGTGGAAATCTAGTGAAAACATTTTCCTCACCAACTATTTGGTTACACCAAGGAAAAATGTGTATGTGAAAAGCAGGTTAAATGCTTGATTCATTCTTTTTATTTACCAGTTTCAGAATAATGAGCTAGGTTTCTCCAAGTTGGCCAATTATATTTTTAAGTATTTTTATGAACTTGCATATTTAAACATATTTGATATATTTCAATCCATTGTAGTTATTATCTTTACTAATGCTCGAATTGCCCCATGTTTGGTTAGAGAGAGCCTCTTCAAATTGCCCCCAAGTCTTTTTTTTCCTTAAACTACTGCAATAATGGTACCATCCCAAGTCCTTTTGACATGACCCTAGTGGTGTTTCTTATCTTCCTTACTATCTGGTTTGACAAGATATTCCAGGTTCATCTTGAACATTCCTTGCCACAGACCCAGAATCAACCATTTGTCTAAGAAATCTTGGTTCCTTTTAATGGGAAATGGTATTTAGAACTGTTATCTGAGCACTGGAGGTGCTCTTTGGCACTGGGATCTTCAGTGTTTCTAACTGTTTTTAGTGGACAGAGCTTAAAAGTACATATGTTTATAAAATAACAAAACTGAGTTCATACTGATGCTTTCAATAATTACATAATCTTAAGAGATCTTTCTTTCAGGCTATGGAAAAACTGATGAATTATCCCTATTCCATAAGATTGCCCATATGCCAAGTGTTAAATAAATATGTATCACCAGAAATAGTGACTTGCTTTTGGATAATGATAAGTAAGTAATTGACAAGTTCTTACTGTCCAATTTCCTCTTTACACACCTATGGCTACCATATTTTCTGAATAAAACATTGGATGGTGGCAGGTGTAATGGCTCACACCTGTAATCCTAGCACTCTGAGAGGCTGAGGCAGGAGGATCGCTTGAGCTCAGGAGTTTGAGACCAGCCTGAGTAAGAACAAGACCCCATTTCTACTAAAAATATAAAAGTTAACTGGGCATTGTGGTGCATGCCTATAGTCCCAGCTACTTGGAAGGCTGAGGCAGGAGGATGGCTTGAGCCCAGGAGTTTGAGGTTGCAGTGAGCTACAATGATGGTCACTGCACTCTACCCAGGGCAACAGAGCGAGACTCAGTCTCAAAAAAATATCATTAGATGGTCTCATGAATATTATTAATATTATAAGTATGGGGACAGCAGAACGAAATATTTGAAATCAGGACTATGGAAAATATGAAATGTGTAGTTGCCACATAGATACTCCAGGCAAAGGATGGCAAACAGATTGCCTCATTCATGGGAATCATCACTAACTACTCTTTCCTACTGAGCTGAATGCACCTTAGAATCCTCCACAGAATAATTCTACAGGAAGCCACTACAAAACAATCAAAATGACATCTCTTGTCATCCAGGTTCAAGACAAACCAATGTCCTTCTGTTACCACATTACAACTTTGTACAATTGATTGGAATAGCAGTTGCTAAATCAAGTCCTGAGATGTACTAGTCCTGTTAATAGGTGCTCCATAAAGAAAAGGAATTTGTGTTCACAAAGTTTGGGAACTAGTGGATTTGAAAAAAACAACAGATTTCTTTACTTCAGTGCGCCAAGAGCTCTTCATGTTCTACTAATATGCAAGGTGACTCTTCAAGAAGAAAAATAGTATGCAGTGTTTATAAACTTTGAACCCTTCATAGAACGCTTTTGTACATAGCATCTTGCTAATGCTGGACTAGGCTTTTCTTCTAAATTAATCACATTCCAATTATGTCTTCTTGAAGCTCAGGTCAAGCATTTCAAACTGATCTGGATGGAAGATTTTTGGAGATAATTAATCTTGTTCATTGAATGTTGAATTTCGTGTATGTGTGTGCACACGTGTGTGTTTATGTCACTCTCTGAAGGTAACCTTATCTCTGATATCTAAAGTCAACCTTGGTTTAGCCTCCTATCTACTGACCACGCTGATTCTATTTCTTTGCTTATGTGTGTGTAACTGTATTGTAAAGGTAGCATTATATTATTTTATTATGCATGTAGGGCATACTTGGACAGACCTCAATGATGGATCACTGGGAATAGTCCCATCTGAGATCCACAAAAACATGCACAGCTGTTACTTTGGATCTTTGCGCTGTCCATTTTGTGCTCTTCCCTCATAACTAGGGGTAGTCATGTTGCTTCTGTTCTAGGTGGACAGTAGTTGCTTTTCAAGTGGCCTCTAGAAAGTCTTTTAATATAGGATTTGCAGTTAGGAGTCTTTCATGTAACATTAGTATTTTGCTTACCCCTAGGGGTTCCAACATTCTCCAAATGTGTGATGCCTTCAGCAGTTATGAGATCCTGACTACAGAACTAGGTATCCAGGAGTAGAAAGTAAAAGACCTTTAAAATTTGCAAGTAAGTTTGGGGGATTCTCAGAGATGATTAAACTGTTGGAAAATAGCACCTATGTCAAAGAGACAAAGGAATCTCTAGATTATTATACCTGAAGATGAGAGACTGTAATATGAAGAACTGTTATTTAGAGCAGTTCACAAAACAATGTATTGGGGTGCAGAAAGAAAACATTGGAACATCAATATATTTATTTTTTCTCATTCTTTTAAAATGTCTGTGTTGGAGTATTTTTACTATATATGCATTATAATGTATGTATAAGATAATGTGTAACGTGTATATGCACAGTACATCGATACAATCTATAAATACATATACATATTTTGGGGCCCATCAGTTTAGAATGTACAAGTTAAAAAAACTGATTTAGAAGATTGTGTTCATCTCTCCTCCATCAAAAAAGTGTTTTCATGTGTTTGTCTGGGGAGTGAGGCTGGGTTAAATAGGAGCACAAGGAATTCAGTTAGATCTATTTATTTTATTTTAAAATAACAATATTGATTATATAGCATTCATTCATATTCATCAAATATTTTCTGAGCGTGGCCTATGCATCAAGCATTGCTCTAGGCTCTGGGGACATGATGGTGAAACTAAACAGTTATAGTCCTTGACTTCATAGTGCAATATAGTTTAGTGGGAAAGACAGCTGTCAACCATTAATCATACACTTAAATATACCATCATAAACAGGTAAGTGTTATAAAGGAAAAATACAGCAAGCTACAGGCTATGAGAGAATAAATGGGGCACCGACTCTATTCTGGGGTTATCAAGAAAGGTTATCCTGAGAAGTGACATTTAAGCTGGGGCCTGCAGGGATTCATTGAGTGGTTGTGAAGAGGTAAAGCGAGAGTGGCCTAGATGGAGGGAGGACATGTGTGAGGGCCTTAAGGGGGCGTGTGGCGAGTGAGGGCCAGTGCCACACAGGAATGGGGTTTCAGACAATAGGGAAGATTCAGAGATGGATGTGCCTGACAGAGAGGTAGAGTGCAAGCTAAATGACCTCAGGAGCTTTGCCTTTCTTTTATTCCAGGGGGAAGAGATACACAAACTAGTTGGAGGTTGCAGAGGACCACAGGAAACAACAAGAAGGGACTGGCTGGGCGGCTAGGCACAACCGGAACATTGAATTCCACCCCAGAACGGTTCCAGGCACCTCAGGTAGTGCTGTCCGTGTGGCCCTCTAGAACGTTAGCTGGTAACGGTAAAAGGCAATGTGTCTTCTATGCCTGAGCTACAGATGTGGACCTTTCCTTTTGGATTGCCCTGAGAATTTCATGAGCAGTAGCTAACTAGAAGGCCTAGTCATGTGCTGTGATCCTGTGTTTTCCTCAGTTATTTGAAACGAGAGGATGTCTGTGCTATCCCCTTGGCAAAATTAAGGGATTTGGAGCCAGGACAAATGAGGTAGATCGGGAGGGTAACTACAGAAGTGGGGCAGTGGCTAGCCCTGCCTAAGGGCTTCGGCCCCAGACTGCAGAGGAGCTACGTGAGAGAGCAGTTATTTGACGGTCCATTGCCGCTGTGCCTGCTAATCGGCTAGGGGAGGGGAAGGAGGACAAGGGAAGCCAGGGTTGGACATTGAGCGTGAAAGAAGAGTGGGCGAGCCAGGCAGCGCTTTCCACATAGGAGGGCGGGAGGCAGCCACACCGGGTCCCCAGCGCCAAGAAAGGGGCACGAGGAGGCGGTGCGGGCCCCGCCCCCTCCCCTGGCGGGCGCGGGCGCGAGACGCTGCGCGGCTGCAGCGGCGGGCGCGAGCGGCAGCTGTCAGGCCACCGAGGTCCAAGCTGCACTTGCTGCCCCATTGAGGACGAGGCGGCAGCAGGAGCGGTGACGGTGTCTCTGAAGAGCCCGACTCCCGGCACGCAGAGCTGAGCTGCCCGGCACCGCGGCCCTCTCCCGTCTCCTTCCCACCGTACTGGGTAAGGTGCCTGCGTGTGGGCAGGAAGAGGGGCTGGAGGACCCGGGAGGCGGGCGGCCAGCGGGAAGGAGAAAGGGGGGTCTAGGTGATCCCCGGGGCCACTCGCAGCTTGGGAAAGGGGCTTAAGCGATGCTGGGGCCGGAGTTGGGGGGCAGGTGACGGTGGAGGGGGGCGTTGCTGAGTAATCCGGAGCGGCTGCCACAGTCGGGCGAGAGGCGCAGGGCTCCGTGGGGAGCGGGTGTGGCTCAGTGCGCATGCGCCACAGCCGACTCGCTCGAAGAGCCGGGGGTGAGGTGAGAGGACCTGGGTCTGAGGTAGTTGGGACTATGCGTGACATCTCACTTTCTAGGATCCCAATGCTAATAGTGCCCCTGTCATAGAGATGCCAGCATCCCGGGTCTCCTAAGGAAGCTTCCTTTCCCTGTACTCAGCTGGCTTAATGTAATCCAAACCTTACCTACCTATTTGTCTCCGGGCAGTCTACTCAGGAAGAAGTGGCCTGGGGACAGTGCCAAATTGCTATCTAGCGTGCCTTTGGGCTCATAGCCCCAGAGCTGTGGTTGCGATGAGTGAACGGTTACACGTGAGATTCCACCTTGGACCCTTGAAGTTGCATATAGGATGTAACTGTAAGCATGAATGTGGGGATAGCGTTTCAGTGACATGACGGCTGTGGCATTTGGACTTATAGGATGGATGTAGCTGATAATTTGTTAGCTCTGCAAAATGAATCCAGTACGTCAGAGGGCTTCCCCGTTATGGAGCACCACCCCCACCCCCACCACCAAGCATCAGGTTGTATTGGAAACAACCTACACCATTTAAGTTAGAGGGTCTCAAAGATCCAATCATTTCTTATTTATGTTGATTTTTACATAGATTAATGAAAGCCGCGCCCAGTTCTCCAGGGCAATATTTCCAAATATTGTGCCAGCATTCAACAGTGAGTTGAGTAGCCCTTACCACTGTGTGGCCATAAGATGGGCTTTCTCCACAGGTCCAACCATGGTTCCTCCCCTGTGCAGACTTCCATCAGGGCCACTGTCATTCGCTGCCTAGCCCTCCCCTCTTGATCTTCCCCCACCCAGCCTGCAGTACACATCCCTCTCAAGACTTGCTCCTGGGCAATCTGCACTACTGATTGTGAGCATCATTCGACTCCATGGCAACTGAACTGACGTTATCAATTTGCTTTTCTGCCTCTCTTCGCTCCATCATCACACAAAAATGTATTATTTTCAAAGGTTCAACCTCTTTCTTTTCATTTTACTGCCTCCTCCCCCACCTTCACCCCCACCCCCAAACATCCCCAACTAAATACAATAATATTAATTAGGCCGTGTGGGTGCAGGCATAGCAGATTCGGAGGGTCGCAAGTGTGTTAAAGAACAAAGAACTGAGGAATATTGGTTACATGAATTCCTAATTCACCTTACTGTCCTAGGCTGAGACCCTAATCGAGGGGAAAAAAAGTGAATACATTATCCTTAGAGAGTGCTCGTTAATCTTTTTGGTGGGGAGTAGGAAAAAGGAATTGCATCTCTTGACTATTTGAGTCAGTTAACGCCAGATCTTTCTCTGAATGGGACCAAAATTAAAATAAATATTTTGGTCCAAATCCTAGCTTGATAGGAGACCCATAAAAAATGCATAAGGCATTTGACTTCCCTGGTAAACATAGTTAGGGTTATCAAAGAATTCCTTTGTCTGCTTAATGCTACCTTTTTTTAAGGTTTGGATTAAATCTGGTATATTCTGGGAGAGGAAAAAATTGTTTCATTTGCTTTTACATTGTGCTAGTTCTTTTTAATTGAAGCATGTACTAAAGACATCACATACATTTTCAAACAAGGATGAATAATAGTGAAGATGCCAACACTCACTGACAATATCAAGTAGAGATAATTATTCTGCTCTTGGTTTTGGTGGGAATGGAGAAATGTATGTACTTATTTTTAAAATGTGAGGGGAGGGGAAGGGGAAGGAAACTGGAGCATTTTCCTTGACTTTCAACAGGTAGAATTTCTGTTAAGTCCCATTTGGAAAATGATCCAGATAAGTTCATAACTTCTGCTCTTTAGTCACCTTATAAATAATAGTATTTGGACATCTTACAGAACTATGGATCTATTGTACCTTGGCATCAATTCATAGGCATTAATTCTGAGCATCTACCTTATCAGTTAATTCATAAACAAATATTTATTGGGTTATCCATGGAGGATCCTGTGCTGCATGCTGAAGGGGCTTCAAAGATACACACAAACAGGGGCCTTACTATCCAGGAATTTAAAATTGGTTGTGTAGGAGAGACATACTTAGAAAAAAGTTTGTTAACAAAATAAGGCAGTATAATGATATGATTTGAACTGTAAACCTTGAGATCTCAAGCTTCTATGTTGATTTGTAACTTCTTGAGGGCAATACCTAGCCTTAAACATTTATGCATTTCCAACAGTATCTGCACCCAGTGTGTATTCAAGGGATGAAGCTTTGCAAAGTAGATTGGGTGGGGAGAAAACAAAGGCAGGGAGAGAGGAGCCAGGAAGCTTTCACAATAGTTTAGATGTGAAGAGATGCAGGCCAAAAGGAGGATGGTAGCAGGGGACTAGAAAAGGATATTGTGAGGAAAAATCAGCAGGACTTAGTGACCTAAGGCAAGGCAATGAGCCTAAACTGTATTCATTTCTACTTCTAGCAAACAAATAGGAGTTGGAGACAGTAGAGGACAGTGGAGGGTCACCTTAGTAAGAATACAGCACACAGTAGGCACTCAAAGCATCAGTAACAGGATTGGAGCAGAAGACCCTTAAAGTTTCTCCTATACTGAGATTTTGTGCCATGTGTAGATGCTCAAGATTGTTAAGGAACAAGTCATTCTTGGATATGGAAGAAAGAAAAAAGGAAGAATTGTTATCCTCCCACTAGCAGGCCCTTTCTGAGAAGGGTTAATATTGAGCCACAAGGCCCCCACCAGCGAATGGAATGAGATGGAGGAACAAGAGGAACAAAAATCTCACACCAAATTTTTCAAGAAATACTTGCAAATCTTCGAAAATTTCATACGATATTTATTCTTCCCCAAATCCAGTGAGTTAAATAGGGCAGATATTATCTGCTCTATTTTTATATAAGAAGATATTGAAATAGAGAAAGATTAAATGACCTGCCCAAGTTCATAAAATAAATGATATAGCAGTGATGAAGACCCTGATGTCCTAATTGCTACCATCCAGGGCTCTTAACAGTAAACCACACTGCTTTTCCTCCTTTCTCCCTGGCATAGAGCCTATGTACCCAGAAGTTATGTGTGCACGTGACCAAATAGGGAATGCACAAGCAACTGCAGCATTATCTCAGATAGTTATTAATACATCATCATTATTCCTGGAGCTGAGCATTTGGTTTCCATATTCACTCAGTCCTTGACCCATCCATTGAGTTCACGTGAAGCTGAGAAAGTAGGGTCAATGAATCATTTAATGATGTGAACACCTGTTTGCTAGGAACTTAAGGAAGCTCATTTGGCATGGACCCTTAATACCAGCCATCAGTATCATGCCCAAGTTTGTACTTCTGTTACTTTTTCAAATAAGAGTTCAAGAGTTCTGCTCTGTAAAATTATCCTGCAGACCAGTATAAAAAATAAAGAAGTGTGCTAACACTTGTTTCATCTCCATTTAAAGAAATGTTTTTTACTTGAGCTAGTTCCAAAGACAGCAATTTGAGAGCAGGGAAAAAAAAGATGACAAAAATCAGGAATTGTAGGAAACTTGAGAATTCTGTAGAGGAGATATAGACCAAAAAGGAAGATAAGGTCTATCAATTTAGGAGTTATTATTTAAATTCATTATTACTGATTTAGATATATATTAAATCCCTTATATGCTTTATCTATATTTGAAAAAAATAACATGAGATTATTAAACAACCGAGTTTTTTTAAAAAGCTTCTTTAGTCCTCAGTAAGAAAGAACACTCAATAGATCTAGGAGCTGTTTTTCTTTTTAGACCAGTATACTTGATGCTGCTTAAATAATATTCTTGCTGTAATTCCCTATAATGTTAAACGAAGGTGTGTTTGAATTTAATAAGGCCAGCTAAGTACTTTTAAAACTTGTATTCAAGACAGATGACATAAATTAATGAATAACATAATTAGCCAAGAGAAGATACTGTATTGTAAATAGGAAGCCCACAAACATAATTTTTTCCTCTTCTTATGGAATCAATTGCAGAGACAAGTTTGAGGCAGATTGGTGAGTGCACTAATAACTTTCATGGAGATGGGAATGTTGGTAGGTATAGAGGGAAGTAATTTCATCTCTGACTTAGGATTTCAACGTATCTTAGATTACTCTGTGCTTTTTCTTTCCTGAATATCATCTATTGTGAATACCATCTGCTTTCTTTGATTTACTTTTACTTTGAATGGAAAATTCAATGGAAAGACAACATAAAACTAAAAAATTGTATAAAGTACACTCAAATTAGGTCAAGTTAAAGTTCTTACAATAAAATTATTTTGCTTATGTTAAGCATTTATAGCATTTGGAACTCTTAAATATATTGAGGGAAAAGCATCCTCTATAGGTTACTTGAGGTTGCTCTGGGTTCTTTTTTTTTCCTGACTTGAATGTATTTTTATATATAGCCTTAACTTTATTTTATTACAGATTTTTTTAAAAAAAATAACGTTTCCTATTCTGCTTTTTAGAACTCTAAAAAGAAAGAATAAAACAACAACAGGAAAAAAGAAAAATATTAGAATTGTGACAAAACCCAACTGGGTAAGTATTTCATAGGGGCACACTATGACTTTTAGATATTTTTAAATTTGATCTCTAAAAATGAATATTTGGAAAAATATATAGTTAGTGCACATGCATTCAAAAATAATTTTAAGGACTACTGAGTTTGTTAAATTACATACCAAACGTGTGTGCTTCCAGAAACTCTCTTGCATATGCTCCTTTGATTAGTGATTAGTTTTCATCCCTTTGTGTCCTTTGCATAAATATTGCCTGATTATCCTCGCCATTGTTGAGTTCACATAACGAACCTAACGTGAAAGTATCCGACAGAATATAGCAAAAGGTAGTTAGTCAGTAAGCATTTGATCTTTTTATTGTAAGATGCATTCTAGGTATTCCATGTATAGACATGTTGTAGAGGTAACAAGAAGGGTACCATATAATTATTAGCACTTTAGATTTTATTGTATGTTTTCATATGTTACTATTAAGAGATTAAAACCTAAATCCAAAAACTAATAAGCTGTTCAAGATTTTCTCCCTTAATGATAGCTATTATATTGATATTAGTCAACTGTCATCAACTTCAGTGCCATTGTTCCATAAGAAAAGATTATGAAAGATCCTTAGGGGGGTATCCATATTAATGCAAGTATGAGGGGCTAAATTCCTGAAGAAACTTAACCTTTTTCTCTCTTCCAGATTCTGGGATCCAGTCTAACTCTGGCCCAGACCTCTACAGACAGAATCAAGAATCCAGCTTTCACAGCTTTCTCTTTTCAATAATTCTTGGTTCTATTGGGAACAGATTTCAAATCCCAAATCAATTTCATACTATTTAAAAAATTTTTTTTTCATACTATTTGCCTCTTGTTTGGAACTGTCCAAACTGGAAGCTAAAATAGTCACACATTTAACTGGAATTCCTGTTCTAGGCTCTCTCCCTAGAATAGGGTCAGAACTGAACCAAATTACAGGACCATCTGCTAGTCCATTCACCCATGGCATTCAGCCATTTTTCTGGCACAGACAAGAGACATCAGAAAAACAAGACCTATTTTCCCCCTTATGCAAAAAGAGTTTTATTTCTTCTGTACTATATCAATTAATGACCGTGAATCAAGAGAAGTTAAATTAGAAGGCCTCATAATTTAGAGAAATTTGCTATGAAGTTGATTTCAGTTTCAGGTTTAACTGTTTTCCCTCCTACTTTTCCTTTTATTTTCAGGTTCTCTTGGTTACAAAGTCCTCCCCTTCTGGTGCTGCAACAATGAGTGGGAAATCCCTGCTCCTAAAGGTCATTCTCTTGGGTGATGGTGGAGTTGGGAAAAGCTCACTTATGAACCGTTATGTAACCAATAAATTTGACTCCCAGGCTTTTCACACCATAGGGGTAGAGTTCTTAAATCGAGATCTGGAGGTAGATGGACGCTTTGTAACTCTCCAGATCTGGGACACTGCAGGGCAGGAACGTTTCAAGAGCCTTAGGACACCCTTCTACAGGGGAGCAGACTGCTGCCTCTTGACCTTCAGCGTGGATGACCGGCAGAGCTTCGAGAACCTTGGTAACTGGCAGAAGGAATTTATTTACTATGCAGATGTGAAGGACCCTGAGCACTTTCCCTTTGTAGTTCTGGGTAACAAGGTAGACAAAGAGGATAGGCAAGTGACTACTGAGGAGGCACAGGCCTGGTGCATGGAAAATGGGGATTACCCTTATCTAGAAACTAGTGCCAAAGATGATACTAATGTGACAGTGGCCTTTGAAGAAGCTGTCAGGCAGGTGTTGGCTGTAGAGGAACAGCTGGAGCATTGCATGTTAGGTCACACCATTGACTTGAACAGTGGCTCCAAAGCAGGATCTTCATGCTGTTAAAAGTAAGGAGCCTTTAAAAGTGTGCCCCAAATTGGTCAGTCAGTAGTATATGAATAACTGTGCCCCTCTAAGTGCACACATGCACACAAGAGGGTAAGAGATAAGGTTCTGATTGTGAAACAGAGCCTTTCAAATCGAAGCTGTAGAGCGATTTAAAAAAAAAAAAAAAAAGCTTTATCAAGCCAAGTGTATTTTGCGTGATTTCTACTACTTCCCCTTCTTGTGTGTCTCAGGACTTATCTGAAAGTTTTAGTCCTGAGAGGTTTAAATATTTTTAAAATGAAAGTTTAAACATAGATCCCAGCCGCATGAAGGAGTTAAAGAGCTACAGCTATTCCTTAAAGCATTCCATTAATCAACTAACAAATGTCACCATCAGACTCTTGCCAAGCAGTTTCTGACATTTCTGCCAAAGGGAAAAAAATAAGACTCTGAGCTGTATTACAATAAAAATAATGATGCAAACAAGAATTCCTAAGCTTGAATTATAAAGAGGTTATAATGATTGGGAATGCAAAAGTATAATGATGTACACTGACTTGTGTAAATCCTTATGTATGGTTTGCTCCCATTTGAGCTTTTCAAAAAATACCATCTCAATAAGAGATACTCTAATGACTCTGGAAATTGATTATACTCCTTGTGTTTGAAGTCACGGGATACTAATGAAAGGATTATGCTTAAATATGCCAACCACCCCTGCAAATAAATGGTTGGCCTGCTTTTACTTCATAAGTCTACTTTTGCTGCATAGAGATGTTGCTTCTCTGACAAAACCTCTTATCAATTTAGCAATGCTGCTTAGTATATGGCTTTGAGTGCAGTGCTTTCTGCTCATAATTTAGATGGTCCTTTGATCCACCATGCTGGGCTCACGGAGAAGGCTTCAGAAAAGATAATGGGCTTTTCTCACAAGGTTCCTTAACTCAAATATTTATTGTAGAAGGAACTTATTTCTTGTATGTTGCACTGTATGTTCAGCTGGCCAAACTAGGACATTAAAAGTGACAAAAGAGCAGATTTTAACCCTGCGTTAGAATGAATTTCCTATAATTAGAGTTGTCCAACAGTGGAATGGACTGCCTTAATAGTAAGCTCCCTTCCAGTGAAAATATTCACTGGATGACCATCTGTTAAAATACCATAAAAGGAATTTCTGTACTGGCTACATGTTCAGTATAAGGTCTCTTCTGGCTCTAAGTTCTATGAATCTATAAACTGTGTCAGTTCCGTGCTGTGGTTAGATTTATCTGAAGATAACAGCTAAGACTATGGACAGGGACTTTAAAAATTCTCAAACCATTCTGTGATCAGCTTTTAACAGCAACTACATAGTTCTTCCTTTTGCTTTTGCACTGTGGCAGGAAAAATTCTTAAGCTCTGAGTAATCTTTATGAGCCCTGATATGAATACCCTAAAGATACCATATTAAAATATTAATGCAAAAGTGGTTTGACAATTTTTGATTGTTATGACTGCCAGTTATATACTGTATTATGAATATGCAGTCTGGTTATTGTTGGTTGATCCGTTTGTCCTGCGTAGTTTTTTTTTTTTTTTTTTCAGACAGAGTCTCACTCTGTTGCCCTGGCTAGAGTGAGTGCCGTGGCATCATCCTAGCTCACAGCAACCTCAAACTCCTGGGCTCAAGCGATCCTCCTGCCTCAGCCTCCCGAGTAGCTGGGACTACAGGCATGCGCCACCATGCCCGGCTAATTTTTTTTCTATATATTTTTAGTTTTTCAATTAATTTCTTTCTAATTTTAGTAGAGACGGGGTCTCGCTCTTGCTCAGGCTGGTTTCGAACTCCTGAGCTCAAACGATCCGCCGGCCTCGGCCTCCCAGAGAGCTAGGATTACAGGCGTGAGCCACCGTGCCCGGCCTGTCCTGCATAGTTTTTAATCTGTACTTTAAAACATCTGTGATAAGAATAGTGACCCAAGATAGTGAGAGACAGTTAGAAATGAGCCCAAAAAGAGACCTAGGCCGGGAAGGGAGTGGGAGCTTTCACAGGAATACAGCCTAGACCTCTCCATTGTAGCCACATATGGAATCAGCCTTACACATGGGACCTTATGTGCTTTAAGAGCTCTGGGACTTTTTGGCCACATAGACAAGAGGAGAACAGTATTTCAACCCAGGCGTACCCATATTTCCAAATAAGATATAGTCCTGACCCTATTGTTCAATTAACTTTGATGCCAGAAGTCAAAGTAAGAACTGGGACCCCACAGCTCTTAAGTATTGGTCCCTATCCTGCCTATGCCTATAGCCAGCCGCACTGGTTTTCAAGTTCTATGATCATTTTGCTACAATTATGTTAGGGTGAAAATCTGTACGTCAAAAGTGTTAAATGCTAATTATTTTTAAGTGCATGAGACCTGGGGCCTTCTCTTTCTACTTGCACTCTGCTTATAATAGTTTCTATTTGTAGATCTCAGGCCTTCACGAAGACCTCCATCAACTCACAAAAGTACTTGTCTCTATTAGAGCGGCACGGGTCATTTGAGTAAAAAACTTACATGGGTATCCAATTCATAGGCATCCTGTCCATCCAAGACAAGTGTTAATTTTATTAGCCTGTCAACTGAAGCCCCTTTCCTCTTAGCCATACCAATTTTTTTCTGCCAAATTACTACACAACATCTTAGTGAGAGCACTTAACATTAAGTGACAAAAACAGTGGCATTTTGGTGAGTAACACTCAGTGGGGTGCTGACATATAGTTTGGGTAAGGTTAAAAAACACCAAAGGCTGAAATCTGTGAGTACCAGGAACTGTGCATATAGGTTTAGAAATTGACTATGTATCCCAGAATGTGCAGTGCAATATTTTCAATAGGTCATTTTTAATGAACACTAGATTTTTGAAATAATATATTTCTAATTAGGACTATACTGTTTTTCAATGATCCATTAAAACATCATACAGAATATTTATTTAGTTTATTATGTATTGGCTAATTTTCAGGGGGCCTCAGATTCCATATGTCTTCAGTGGATTGATGACTTTCAGGTTAATTTGTGCCTGCCTCAGCCATCTCTGTTTTATCCTGAGGTATTCCACAATCCTCTTGTTGCAGGTGCTGCTAAAAAATCTCAAAATTGTGTATCGGATATTTTCTTCCAACTGTAAAGAACCATCTGTGTTAAAGTGAATAAAAAGTGCATTTTGAATAACCAACATACAATGTTTGTGTTTCTTCCCTCCCTTTCTCTTTTTAAGCAGTTGGTGGGTCTGATCAACAGTACTCATCAATCAAGTCACTCTTCCAGGCTGCACTGGATGTGGCCCCTGGATCACTTTTCACATGGTACTCCACGCAGCCACTGCCTAGTGATCAGATACTACTGTACTGATTGGGAAGCAAACTCAAAAGATTGGAATGGGGAGGTTCCTTTTATTTTATATCACTTTCTAATGCATGAAGAGTATTGGGGCTGGAAATTGGCTTTTAACTCTCCACTTTATTTCTTTATCAATTTAAAACAAATGTTAAACCATCACAAAATATAAACAAAATAAGGCTGGGTGAGGTGGCTCACACCTGTAATCCTAGCACTCTGGCAGGCCGAGGCAGGAGTGATCGCCTGAGGTCAGGAGTTGAGACCAGCCTGAGCAAGAGCGAGACCCCGTCTCTACTAAAAATAGAAAAATTAGCCGGGTGTCGTGGTGTACATCTGTAGTCCCAGCTACTCGGGAGGCTGAGGCAGGAGGATCGCTTGAGCCCAGGAGTTTGAGGTTGCTGTGAGCTAGGCTGATGCCACAGCA